TCCTAGCCAAAAGGCAGCATCAACCACCAGGCAGGTGAGTGAGGAAGCTTCAGATCATTCCAGCCCACTGCCTTTAAGCTGCCTCAGCTGATGCTATGTAGAGCAGAGATGAACTGATCCCACTGAGCCCTGCCCAGTTTGCAGACTCATGAGCAAAATAAATCTCACTGAAGTGGTTTGTTTTGTAAACTAGAGAGCTTCCAGTCCTTCCAACCTGAGGGAAAAAAGGACTTCATTTCAAACCTAACTCTGATGTCACTTTCCTGTTCAAAAGCCTTCCATGCTTCCATCTTCCTCAGAGTGAAGGCCAAAGTCCACACATAACCTGAAAAAACTCATCATACATGGTCTTTCCATACCATTGTCTTTCTCCTCCTCACATCGCCTCTCTGACTTCATCTCCCACTCTCCCCACCCATCCCTCTGCTCTAGCTACACTGGGCTCTTTGTTGATCCCTGAACTTACCAGGCAAATCCAACCTCAGGACATTTGCACTTGCTGCTCTCTTAGCTTAGAATGCTCTTCTCCCAGAAATCCACAGGGCACCCCCCCCACCTTCAAGTCTTTGCTCAAATGTTACCTTTTCATTAAGCTCTTCTATGACCAAACCATTTAAAATTACAGCTTATCCTCACCCCCAACAAAAAATATTACTACCCATCTCCATTCTCTGGATTACATCTCTCCATAGCACTTATCACAATCTAATGTACTCTGTATTTCACTTACACTTCTTGTGTGTAGTCTCTCTGCCCAACTAGAGTATAAATTCCATGAGGGCAGGTCACTGTATCCCCATTGTCTACAACAGTGCCTCACATATGTTTATCACTCTGTGAATATTTGTTAGATAAGTTGAATGAATGAGTGAATGAATGAATGAGTTAATGGGTAGGTGTTTTGTAGGATAAGTAGATCCAGGGAAGAGGAAAAAGGAGAAAAGGAAAAGACCCTGACTCTGCCCAAGGCAGAGCGTACTGTTTCTAAAAACTTTCTCATCCCCACAACCAAATAATCAGTCTCCAAACCATGTCCCTCTTGCCTCATTACTTCTTTTAACATTTCATTGTGAGCATTTTAAAACATATAGAAAATTTGAAAGATTTTACAGTGAACCTTATTACCGAGATGCTACCATTAACATTTTGCTCTATTTGTCGTGTTTCTATCTATTCATCCATCACTCCAGCGTATTTTTTATGTGCTTCAGTGAAAGTTGCAGACATCAGTACTCTAACCCCTAAATCCCTCAACATGTCTGTCAATATTAGTTTACTCTTCATATGTCCTATTTTAGGTGAAATTTACATATAAAAAGATGCACAAATCTCAAGAGTACCATCCACTGGGCCTTGACAAATGCATGTACCTCTGTAAACCAAACTCCATCAAGATAAAGAACCACTGTGCTGATTTTTTTTGTCCACCATAGATCAGCCTTGCCCCTTCTGGAACTTCATAGAACTGAAATCACATAGCATAGTCTCTTTTGCGCCTGGCTTCCTTCATTCCACATAATGATTCTGAGATTCATCCATGTTGTATGTGCATCAATAGTTTATTCTTTTTTCTTAACGAACAGTGTTCACTGATGGCTGCACCACTGCTTGTTTATCCATATTGATATATTAGGATGTTGATATACGGGTGAACCTCAATACCTTTTCAATCGTTCTCCTCTCCTTTGCCCCCGTGGCCCCTTCCACGGCCCAGGCGTCTCTTTTTTACACCCAGGTCTGCACCCCAGTCTCCTTCCTGTTCTCTGACCTCCAGTCTCACCTATGTTATCTGCTCTCTACACAGCAACCAGAGGAATCTTTATAAGGCACACATTGTGTTCCTTTCCTGCTCAAAACTCTGCCATGGCTCCTTGGTGCTCCCAGGATCTTGCCCAGGCTTCTTTAGTGGCTTTCAACCTTGGCTTGAACTCACCTGCATGCACCATCCACCATCACCTCCCACCTCCTCTCTTTACACTACATGTTACAGCCACAGGTACTTCTCAGGTATCTCAAGGTACCAAACTCTAAGCCATTGTATTCTCTTCATTCGGCCCACAATAGTTTTCTCCCCTGCTCTCTTTACCTTTTTCACTCCTATTCATCCTTCAAGTCTCCATTCAGATGTCTCCTCCTTAGGAAACCTTGACAACCCCTACAGGCTGGGTGAGGTGCCTCCACAGAGCTCCCACCATCCTTGGGGGCTCGGATCCCTCTACATTTTAATCATAAAAAGTTTTCCCCTAAGCTTCAGCTCCAGGAGAAACACTTGTCTCTCCAGACAAACAAGAACATTTCCTTCTTGCAAAACTTGGAAATCATTTCAACAAACACATTACCCGTATTGCCTTTGCCACCAAGAACCACCAAATGAAGTTTACTGCTAACCTAGATCATAGATACCTGGTGCATCCATAGACATAAGCTTTATTTCTGTTTTAATGTTTGTTTAGACAAGTGTCAGTTTTCGTCGGGCACTGTAAATCCTCAGATTGGCTATCTGCTATGGCTCGGATAGCCCCTGCTTTCTTGGATAGGACACTGCTTCCCCTGCAGACCTTTCTAATTTAGTCTCCCATTCACATGTCTCTGCACTGAAGCTTGGGGGATATTCTCTCAGTTTATCAAGATTCTTTTGGGGATCAAGCAGCTGAAATCAACTCAAATGAATCTGAGTACAACGTAAATGAATAAAACAATATGTAGCAACAACAGCAACAACTCAAAACCCCCATAATGGTTCCAAGATTAAATTTTTTGTTTGTTTTTGTTTTGAGGGGGAGGTAATTGGATTTTTATTTATTTTAATGGAGGTACTGAGGACTGAATCCAGGACCTTGTGCATGCTTAACACTCACTTTACCACTGAGCTATACCCTCCCCACCAATATTAAACTGGAGTTTGGGTATGGCTGGATCCAGGCACCTAAGTGCTAGTGTCAAGACTGTCTTTCACAAACTTTCATTTCTGCTTTCCTCTGCATTGACTTTCATCTCATAAAGATTCTCCTTTCTTGGTAACAGAACCCCATCTGCTCCAGACTCACATCCCACCAGCCTGGTAACTCCAGCAGAAAGAGAGTCTCTTTCCTGATAGCTGCAGCAAATGTCTCAGGGTTGGTTCTCACTGGGCTTGGTTAGGTCACTTGCCTTCCTGAGTCAATGACTGTGATCAGGGAAATAGAATAAATCTGCTAGATCTAGTCCCTGGGGCTGGCGAAGGGAGGGTTATGGCCAGCCCTATTCAAATTAAATAACTAAGAGGGGAGAGAATGTGGTATTCCAAAAGAAAACTGAGTAGGTCTGGGGTGGGCAAAACCCAGAGACTTCTGCTATAGTGTCCTCTTCCTTGCCCAAAGCTGCATCCTGAATATTGGTCCGCTGTGGATTAGCACCCCGCCGTCACCACCACCACCACCACCACCATACACACACACACCCCCATTCCTTATCCAAGTGTAATACTTTTGCCACTCTTTGGTGACCTTGTGCCTCTTGCTTTTTACTTCTGTGGTAGAAAGATACCATTTCTCTGCTCTTTTTAAAAGTGGGTGTGATTGAGTTTTACATATTTACTTGGCCTAAAGTTAATCACTCAACAGTGGGAACCTGAAAAGGGAGTTAGAGAGGCAAGGAGGTGGGGCTGGGGTACAGAGGGTGACTGACTGGAGGAGTAGGGCCAGGGTGGGTGGGCACTGGATGGAGGGATGAGAGTGGAAGGGAGGGGCTGAGGACTGGGAGGGAACGGTGGACGTATGC